TCCCCTACTACGACTCCGGTGGCCATGTCGCGGTGGCGCCGTGGCCGTGACTGCGCATGGCGAGGTACATCACCAAGTTCCCATCTAAGTTATGTTTTACCTACTGGATCGACGCCTAGATAGTCCAAGAGTTCTATCAATGGTACCATAGATAGGTTAGTGTGTAGATCTAGATCGGGACAGCAAATAGAAGGAGATGGTTCGAATTTTCAGATTCCGGTTGAAACCCTAACCCTAACCCCTCGGGTGAACGCGCGCGCCATCGAATGGCCTCACGGCGGCGTTGCCATTCCCCGTCTCACCACCGGAGACTACTAGCGGCCGCTCTATGTGGCGCTGAGAAAGAGTATGGGGAAGAGAAAAGCTAAGAGAAAAGAGAACCGCCCGCACTGTCACCACCGCCGGTCGTCGCATCGACGCTGCGCGGGAAGTAATCCCGAGCCGCCGCGGGCGCGAGGACTCACCACCATGTGGTCTCCGCAAGGGCACCGCCCGAGGGCCGCTCGACGGCGACGCGCTCAACCTCCAGCGAGCGCACACGCCAGCGAGAGGCACCACGGCAGCGCCGTCAATTAACTCCGGTCGTCACGGGCGGCCATCGCTCCAGCGCTCGCCTTTGCGCGGCACTGCGAGAAAGAAGAGGTGAGAAGGAAAGGAGAAAGATTTTCTGAGGTCACCGACCGTGGGCCGGTGGACGAACCGAGCGGCGCACCGGCGTGACAGCCGCCAGCGACGTGCGCTCTGATCGGCCGGGAGAGTTAGGTTTAGGGTTAGGGGAGCCCAAACGGATCGATGGCTTATATCTCTCCCAATCCACGCGCTCCACCATCCGATCTAGATGGACGGATGGGATCAAGGCGGGGGGAGGGACGAGCGGCGCGACGGACCGAATTGGTGGCCCGTTCATCGGCTGCTGGGCTAAAGGCCTAGGCGGGTCGAGCGGCTGCTGGGCCGCCGAGTTGAGCGGGCCAAGCCGACGCGGTTTGTGAGCGCGGCAGCGCGTTGGGCCACGCGCGTGGGCATGCAGAAGAAATGGGCCGTGGGCCGAATTTTCTCGGTTGGGCCAAAATGGCCAGAAGAAACTGTTTCAGTTTTATTAATTTTTAGAAGCAGTTTTGAAGAATTTTGTCAAGTTTTGATGTTAAATCTCTGTTAAAATTTGAACCAACGGGATAAATTACTTTTTCATGTTTCCGCTGCGAAGTTAATGCTTATTGTCCTCTAATTTAAATTGGAACAAACTGGAAAATTTAAATTGGAGGAGTAGTCCGATTTGTTTATGTTAAATTATGGTATTGTTATTTTCTGACCAACGTTGATGATAACAATATTATAATGAGTTTAAGGTTGAAGTTTAAATCTCTAATAAATTTTACACCAACGTGGTCAATTTTTCAGAGAGTAGATAAAGACTAAGAAATGCTCCTGAACTAATAGAATGTATTTTATTATCGTGTTTCCACTACAATGATGTTGATTATCTTATAATTAAATTTGAACCAACGGGAGAATTTAATTTTGAAGAGTAGTTATATGTCTTTCAAGTTAATTTATCAGTTTTATGCATTAATTCTATTTTCTGCCCAATGGTGATGTAGAATTAATGCAGAAGCATCTTGTATGTTTTATTTTTTAACCGACGAGATCACTTGGTTGTATGTTAATGGGCTGCATGCTGGGGTATGTGAATGAAAAGGCTTGAGTCAAACCAGTTTACGATAGCTTTTTGTTAGCTTACTAATTTTTTTGATTAAATTGAAACCAACGAGAAGATTTAATTGAAAAATGAAGTATAAGTAATTGTTTTAGTCGTCATGACTAAGTTTTCGTATAGATGTATCCCGCATGGGGAGAAGTTTGGTATAGTCCTTATGCTAGTCAATCCTGCATGGTGGGAGAAGTTTTTATGATGACTCATATGTTTTTGTATCTCGCATAGCGAGAGAAGTTTGGGTAGCTCTTATGCTATCCTAGTATTGACCATGGCACAATAGAAATGCATCGTCATGGTCAATACTAACCAAAAGATAAGAAAAAAATGCAAGCGTGATTTACAAAAGTACAGTTAATAAAAGACCTCGTCGAGTTCTTGAAGTGGAATGAGAAAAGTGTACTCTTATACGGATCAAGAAAGAACTTTTTTGTATGGCATAATCACGTGAATGAAGTAAGTCATAAGTGTCTTCTCGTTCACAATTTTCTAAATAGTTCTCGAAATTATTGCAGTATAGTTCATGCCATATTTCAAGGGGGAGAATTGTGAGATGAATTAAGAGTAAGAATTAAGATCAATTAAGAAACTACTCTTCATTAAGAGTGAGAGAAAGATTTTGATGAATATGACCGTCGATCATAACAATGATACCCCTAAGCAGAAAAATAGCTAAATTCCTAGACTTTTTAAAGTTCCGACAGGAAGATAGTGTAGTGAGCCTCAAAGATGATAAGGTGGTGTTTAAAGCGCCATATGAGGTTTTAACAGATTAAACCCAAAATAAGACATTTAAAGATACACTATCTTTAGAAAAGATGGAAAGATATGGGGGAGCATGGTATGTAGAGACCTAAGACTTGAAGAGAAGAGAAACTGCATGCCCACTCCAGTGACTCAGGAGCAATAAATTTCTCAATATCTGTTGATGTTGTATGACTAATACAACACCTGTTGTTAGCTCTTCGAAGAAGATGAATAATACAAACAAGGATCTTATAATATAGGAGCCTATAGAATCAATTGTCTCTTGGCAATGAAGAGCAACAACAGCCCCATATGAATGTGCTAGTAGTTGAGGCCCCACAAGGTCTAAAAGAATTAGTAAACCAGTTTTTTCTAATGACTATGAAGTCTATATTAGTAAAGAAATTCAAATAGAGGGTGATCCCATCTCATTTGAAGAAGCCATGAGAAGCGCTTACTCGTCTAAATGGCTAGAAACTATGGAAGTTAAAATGAATTTGATGAATACCAACGATATTTAGGACTTAGAAGAAATTTCTAATGGAGTCAAAAGAGTACGCTGTAATTGGGTCTACAAGACAAAATATGACTTCAAAAGGAATGTAGAAAGATATAAAGCACGACTTATAACAAAATGCTTTACGCAAAGAGAATGAATAGATTACAATGAGAGTTTTCTCTCCAGTCTAATGCAAGAATTCTTTTAGAATCATAAGGGTGTTATTGACACATTATAATTTAGAGTTACATCAGATGAATGTAAAGACGACATTCTTCAACGGGGATTTATATGAAAACGTTTACATGGCACAACCCAAAGGTTTTGTCGTGGAAGAAAAGGAACGTATGGGATGCCGTCTATAGAAATCCATTTATGGATTAAAACAAATCTCTAGAGAGTAGTATTTGAAGTTGTTGAAACGATAAGAAAATTTGTGTTTAAAGAAAATGAGAAGGACAATAACGTTTATGCGAAGTTCAAGAATGGAAAATTCTTTTTCCGTATCCTGTGTATAGATAACATCCTACTCACTAGTAGTGATGTTAATCTGTCATTGGAGAAGAAAAAGTTCTTGTCCTCAAGTTTCAATATGAATGATCTTAGTAAAGCGTCATTGGTTCTAGGAATTAAAATTCATCGAGATAGAAAAAAGGGGATATTAGGACTGTCGCAAAGGCATACTTAAAAAATATTATAAATAAATAAAATATTCATGCGAGTAAACCTACGTCTGCTCCTATACTCAAGGGTAATAGATTTGAGAACTTTAAGTGTTTCAAGAACCGATATGAGATCGATCAAATGAACATGGTTCCATATACTTCAGTTGTTGAAAGCTTGATGAGTGTACAAATACAAGTAAGAACGTACCCTGACGTAGTTTACGTATCCGAGATATTTTAGCAGAAGTCCAGTCCAGATATAGATTACTGGAATGAAGTTGAGAATGTCTTACAATTTTGTAAAGTATCATATGCCTCATACTGAGTAAGAAAGAACAAGTACTCTCAAATAGTTGAGGGTACAAATGTTAAGTCTTGACGAGATGTGTAGTAAATTGTGGTGTTATCGGTGATGCATACCATAGTATAGCTTGACATGAGGCTTAAGAAACATGCAAAATGAGGTTAAGAGAATTAGTACCCGGATTTAATAATGGTAGGCAATAACAATAACTATTTAAAATAGTTAACTCCTAAGATAACAGGTTAAGTGTGCTGCCAAATACATCGAAATTGAGTTATATGTTGTAAGGGAGAAAATCCATAATCATTTTAAAAACATTGAGCATGTGAGTACCAGACAATTACTTACGGATCCATTTACCAAAGGCTAACAACAAAGTGTGTTTAGAGAATATATAATCGATATGGGCTTACGGGAAAGTCTATGATTTCTGGATACTAAGGGCCTAGTTAAGAATCTGTTTCAAAACAGAGAGGTGCATTGTAGTTGTTTAATCTAGTGGTAACTGACCGTAACGATGAGACATGCTCTATGCACTGATGTGTGATGGAATAAAAAAAAGATAAACTAAGTTGAGTTTAAGTCATAAGGTGAGATGAAGCGGGAGAATATTAGGATGATCTACACCAGTTGGTCCAACGGTCAATTGGACCCTTGATTCACGCCCTGATCGGGAGCGCTATGCCGGGACTGATAGGCCCCTATCGCGCAGCGCCATAAAAGGATGGTGGAGGCTAGGACACAAGATATGAGGTCACCGGTAGCCGAAGTTCCTGATCCTAGACTAGTCGAGAGAGGCGTAGTGAGGGATGGAAAGCGCCCATCGCCTTCGCCGCCGTCACAGCACCGCACTTGCACTGCTGCTGTATTCAACGACCTAGCGAGCACCTGCACGGCTTCTCCTACTACGACTCCAGTGGCTACATCACGGTCACGGTGGTGCCATGGCCATGACTGCGCATGGCACGATACATCACCGAGTCTCCCATCTAAGTTTTGTTTTTACCCAGTGATCTCCGTCACAGTCTGCTCTCTTCCTTCCTCACCAAGTTACAATTTTATCGGAACAAGGAGATGGAGCGCTTCACGGTGGAGCAGGACGAGGCCCTGCAGCTCCTAACCTCCCTACAACACCTCCCATTCGATAGTTGCTGGAAGCTGCAGAGCCTCCCGGCGGGGCTACATAGATTGACAAGCCTCAAGACATTAGAGATCGAGTTCTGTCAATCCATCCGCGTGCTGCACAAGGACGGCCTCCCTGATTCCCTGCAACAATTACGCATCTACAGCTGTCCATCCGTCCGGGCGCTACCCAAGGGCCGCCTCCCAACTTCACTGAAGCTATTAGAAGTCAGCGATGGCAGCGAGGACCTAACAAGGCAGTGCCGCAACCTGATAGGAACCATTCCGATAGTCAAGCTTGACTAATCAAGGTAACATCAACTTTCCTGTTTCGATTCCTGCGTACTACTAAGTTCACTTGCTCTAATTTTCCTAACCTCTTAACAGTCCTAGTCATTCTCCTACTGTTTGTTTCAACAAAGTCACTGCTTCAACTAATCCACTTGTGTTTACCTACTCTGCAGGTCTTTTGTTCTAAATGTACATTCTTCTAACCTCATAGAATTCGCTCCCTATCGCTTCGTACTCCTGTTGTTGTCAAGCACCAACATCTTCTCTCTGCAAGTGCCTTCCATGACATAAACTGGTTAGTATATACACTGTTTAGGAGTTTAATCCTAGATGTTTACCAGCTCCGCCCCTTGTTCTGGTTATCTGTGCTACCTTTCCCTTTTCTGATATTTTAAATTCAAGTTAAAATTATTTTCTTCTAACTGTTTGTTACTGCTACTTACAGGTTTGGGTCTCCATTACAATGATCGTGCCATGACTGAAAGTGCATACTTTACTTTATGTTATCAACTGCATTTCTCCTCCACCTTCTCACTGGTCCAAGTAGAGCATGCTGTAAGGATCAGAACTGATATGAGCTACATAGTGTCAACCTTATCATGTTTTTGTAAGTACAAAATTACTTGTTGTCTTTATAATGTGTTTCATAGACTTATCACCTTTCTTATGAGTGTCATAGCTGTATGAGCTAGCAAAGTGGCAGTTGCTTGATCATGTGTGACTTACCATTGTTTTCTTCTAACTGTTTGTCACTGCTACTTACAGGTTTGGGTTTCCATTACAATGATCATGCCATGACTGAATGTGCATACTTTACTTTATGTTATCAATGCTTTTCTCCTCCATCTTGTAACTGGTCCCAGCAGAGCATGCTGTATTCCTGATACTAGTAAAGGATCGGAGCTGATATGAGCATCAGTGTCAACCTTATCACGTTTTTGTAAGTGTGAATTTGCTTGTTGTCTTTATAATGTGTCTCATAGATTTATCACCTTTTTTAACGAGTTCTAGCTGTATGAGCTAGGCAGCTAGCAGAGTAGCAGTTGCTTGATAATGTGTAACTAACTGACAATAAGCCAACCACCAATGCTTAACAAACATTTTTCACATTAGACATGGTATTAGTCAAATTGATGCTCATGTTTTTTCCATCCACGTTTGATGATCTAGACCAACAATAGATATGATTTTAAATCAGATTCATGCTCTATTTATTTCCCCAATGGACATTCTATCTGCATAGTACATGATTCTGTGGAACACACTGTTGACAAAATAAAAAAGCCAGCAGTACTAATAATGTCCCCGTTTTCCTTTCTCTGCATGGCGCCATGACCCTTCTTTGAATTGTACATTCTTGTAGCCTTGTAGGAATCTCTCTATATCATGGACGATTTTGTGTTGTCTGGCACAAGCATGTCAACAGGTATCTCCGACATTGAAAATAAAACTGGTTAGTAATTTTCAGCTCTAATCATGCATTCTCCTGTCATTTAGAATTTAAATTCACATTCTGCCCTTTCTTTCGGTTACTGTGCTCTTTTCTCTTGTTAATCTTTGAGTAGTTCAATCTAGTACTAGAGTTGATGCAAGTATTGATAGTTAGGAATTTTGTCACAATACCCAGTTGAATGAGTAGCAGTTCCATAGCGTTTCTTAACTTGTAAAACCTGCAGAAACAAGCTGCATTATCAGTACTTTCTGCTTGGGTGCTTACATTCCTGATTTACTTATTCTGCAGACACTCTAGTGATTCCAAGGTGGCTGTATTGACTGGATGTAAATGTAATTTTCTTGATTTCAATAAAATATTCCCTTAAAAAATGAGTTTGGAATATCTTCTCAACTCGTAGAGCTTTCTTGATCTACTTTCTTGTTTCCTTGAGGTATTGCTGCAGAACATAATTTGCACCCTTACATTTTCAACTCAGAAACTACTTTATAATTCTGAACTCTGATGTTGCATTTTTTGGCTCAACGTAGGATGGATATATTCTGCTCATATGTCAACATGTTAGACTAATGGGGCATAATTTAGCATATATCGGTATGTATTCCTAGGTACTTGGACTCATTCATGATTTGATTACAGAGTGAGGGGCTAATGTTGAATATTTTCAACTGGGATTTGTTCTCTAGGCAAGCATAGGATTCTCAGAATTAACATAACAATTTTTTTTAAGACTTCACCGGAGGGGTGAGAGCCCCACCTGAATAATTTTCCATTGATACTGGGCAAGCCGGGGGATGGAGGGTGCCAAGCACCTAATACATGAATGATCCTCGAAGGTCAGAGAAGTAAATGAGAGGGAGAGAGAAGGATTACAACACTTAACACAGCAACAACAAGAACAAAACAACATGATTCAGCTACCAGCTCAGCCTACCAGCCAAAGCGAGCGCACGCACCACTTCCAAATTTGTGCCACCACCAATGACAAACTCTGAAGACCTCTGGCCCATGTGCAGCTATAAGGTATTGAGTTGGATCCAACAGACGACAGCCAAGAAGCTGTAGAGCATTGAGTCGGAGCCAACATGCGGCAGTCGTGAGAGCATCGCTTAAAAGCGTATCTGGACTCCAACAGATGCCCACCAACGCCATTTTGGTGAAGGAAGCCTCAAAGGGGGAGGACCGCCAGGAGGAGAACGAGAAGATCCAGAGAAGGAGATCAAGGTCCCCGTAACCTAGCATATAATGAGGCGGAGCACTCAAGTGATCTAGAGAACGACAGAGCGAGCCGTTGATGGTGAGCACCTGACAGCAAGTAATGTTTGCAGAAGCCAAGGGGATGGAGGGTTGCCAGACCAATAACAAGATGGGGGAGAGCAATCGGGGAAAGCACAAGGCCACGCCAGGCATGGACGAAAGCAGGTGTGCTTGCATCGATGCCATCAAGAAGGGGAGTGACGTCCACGGACGCCACCATCGACGATGGAGCACCAAGCTCGTAACGGTTTTCACCCCGGGACTTGCCCAGCAGATGCAAAAAGCTTGGATTGGTTTTCACGATAGCAGGGGCTAGAATCTACAGTGACGCCTCTAGGGAGGGAAACGACGCTTGCTGCGCCATCGTCGCTGGTCTGGAGCAAAGCCAGACAGGGTTTTCACCCAGATTCCATATAGTTATGTAAGCCTACCCAGAGCGCAGCGCTGCAAACTGCAATTGGCGAGGACAAGAAGTAGCAGGAGGGGACCAACGATGACAGAGCATTTGGACGAGCCATGGGCCGGTCACCATTGTTATCGCTACTGCCGCCACTGGCAGCAGCCGGCGGGAGTGGGAGGTACAGCAGCAGGGCTACCACATCCGCTCCTCAAGGCTGCAGCAGAGCTTCTGGAGTTCGTCGACCGTGAGACCCCGCACCGTCCCACCGCACCGTCATCGTCTGCGAGCACGACGGGCTTCCGGTCCCACCGCGCAGGCCAGCACGCACAGGGACGAGGACGCCTGGCTGCTATGGGCAGGTGCAGGCCGAGTCCGCCAAGCCACCGGCCGCAACTCCAGACGCGAGTATAGGCCCGCCAAAGCGGTAGACCCGGCGACCCGCACCTGAGCATGCCGCGCCCGTACAGGCCCCTAGCCATGGGCTGCCACGCGGGCTGCCCCCTTCACTATCGCACAGGCCTCCTCACCCGCGCCTGAACACGCCGCGGCCACCCGCTTGCGCCGCGCCATAGCTCGCGCCTCCACAAGCCACCTCGCTCGACCGCGCCATAGCTTGCACTGCCGCCACGCGTAGTGGCTTGCGTCGCCATCGCACCAAAGAACGCGCGCCGCCCACACACCGGACGTCGCGGCACCACCACACGCTTGCGCGCGCCGCCACCGCCGTCCCCGTCCCTGGAGGTATCCCCTCCAGAGCCGGATTCAGGGCGGGGTTCACCAGAACCGGACGCGAAGGACGCAGATTCGGTGCTGCACCGGCGATCTTGCCGCCATTAGACGTCCTTGTGCCAGAGTTTCAAAAGTCACCAAAAGGAAGAGGATGGGAGAAGAGGAGGGAGGAGAGGAGGGGCTACGGATCCATGGCGGGAGATGCCGGATCCGGGCTCAGGGAGCTCGAATTCGGAGGAGCTAGCTCGTTGCCAGCAATCCATGCGCCAGAAAAAAATGGAGTTTCAGTTATGAGGGGGAGGGGAGGGGAGGAGAGGAAGAGGGAGCAGAAAGCGGTTGCGGTGGAGCCTTTTTGGGCGCCGCAACAGGCCGCCGCCCCGACTAGCCGGAGAACGGCGGCGGCCGCCGGGGAACTGGCGTGGTGGGTGAAAGCTTTAGTTTGGTTTTGGTGAATTGATGAAACCCTAAGTGCTAACCTAGTTTATCAAGTGATTATGAGATAGGTAGCACACTCCAAGTGGTGAAGCAAATGAAGATCATTGCATGATGAGGATGATGCCATGGTGATGATCAAGTGCTCGGACTTGGAAAAGAAGAAAGAGAAAAACAAAAAGCTCAAGGCAAAGGTATAAACCTTAGGAGCTATTTTATTTTTGTGATCAAGACACTTAGAGAGTGTGATCACATTTAGGTTTGATAGCCGTACTATTAAGAGGGGTGAAACTCGTATCGAAATACAGTTATCAAAGTGCCACTAGATGCTCTAACTCATTGCATATGCATTTAGTATCTAGTGGAGTGCTAACACCCTTGAAAATGTTTGTGAAAATATGCTAACACATGTGCACAAGGTGATACACTTGGTGGTTGGCACATTTGATCAAGGGTGGTGAAGTTTAGGTGCAAGGGTAAGAAAATCCACTGGCGCCCTAGACAGAAAAGACGGAGGTCACTAGTCGTTCAACGACTGGACGCTGGTGGCTGCGTCCGGTGCTGTTGTCGGGCGGAGCAGCAGACAGATACCTAGCGATCGGACGCTGTCAGGGTCCGGTCAAGCATGACCGGACGCGTCCGGTCGGCAAAAGTCAGTTTTGGAACCTTACTGTAAATGACTGGACGCTGGGGGTTCAGTGTCCGGTCAACTTCAGCGCAGTGTCCGGTCAAGGCAGATGACCG